CCTAACCCCCCCAACACCCCCGTAATCGACCACCCATTACCCCTCCCAGTGCAGTCACACCGACGGTCAGTGCCTCTCTATTGGTCGGCAACCGACCATCCAACCCGTCAACCAGTTGGCACCTACCTGTCGGCTCTTGGTTGGCACCGTGAAAAAAAACAGAAAAAAAAAAAGTCTGACCACCATAATGCCAACACCCCCGTAACCCACCGCCCATTATCCCTCCCATACCCCCCAACCCACCCTGCCTTCGCCAAAACTAAAGTTTTTAAGCGGATTTGGGCTGTACTGAGCAAGTGCAATACATCCCCAAGCTCAATTTGAAAAGAATCAGTGGATGACCCTCCCGCGACTGGCCGCCGACCGCTCGGCCCTGCTGGTAGGCTGCGAAACGGTCGCCAGTCGGTTTGTATGCAACACTAGTGTGCTCCCAAATGATGTCATATTCAGAATCCTCTACTGACCGTTAACACCACACACACACACACACACACACACACACACACACATGCACACACATGCGCACACACACACACGCACACATATGCGCACACCTTGCTGCAGCAGGCTGTCTCATTTTTGGACATGCACTATCTCCTGCTGCAGCCGGATGCTCTATCCTCACATTGTGAGGGTTCCAACTGCGTTTGTATTCATCATTGCGCTACCTGCCAAAATGAAGAATACCCTTCAAGACTCTCGTTTCCTAATGTTGCTATTCACCAAGTGACACCAACAACTAAACATAATAGCCGAATACAAGGCTAATAGCCTAATACAGGAATAGCATTGAGGAGCTTGATTCAAAAGGGTGATCCATGTTTGGTTCGGTTCTTTAGTGCTGAACAACAGGCTTCCTTGGCCCATGGGCATCATCAGATTACCTGGCATTTTAGTCCTGCTAAGCTGGACATCACAAGGCAGCTGCTATCCTGGAGCATGCAAGGCAGCTGACATGACCATTTACTTCATTCATGCGTGCATCATTAGGCAACCTTCTGTACTGGAGCCCGCAAGGCACCTTGGTCTACCGCCAACACTCCCATGGAATCACCCTTGCTACTTAACAACCACCCACCATACTTTTCACTACTCCCAGATGCTTCCTGCACCCCGTTGTCCAGTTTCAATTTCTGCGTCCCCTTCACCACTACCTATCCTCAGACTGTCCGTCATTATAGACCTGCTACGCTGGACCTCGCAAAGAACCTGCTATCGACGATGAAGCTAAGCGGACGCGTGTTGAATGACCCTCAAGTTTGATCGATTTCTGAACGACCATGCATTACCAAAAAGTAGGGACCTGCCTACTAACACGGGCGCGCGCGCGCGTGAGAGAGAGAGAGAGAGAGAGAGAGAGAGAGAGAGAGAGAGAGAGAGAGAG